ACAACTTTCAACTTTTGAAGGAAATTGTCTGTAAATCCCATCAGTTACCACTTTTCAATTTTCACATTTCTAAGCATGGTTTAATTTCAAGTGTTGCAATTCTTAAATCTCATTAAAGAATCGCCGTTAGTTCCCATCAGAAAGTCTGCCTGCGGTGCATTGTTTGTTTAAGCCTGGGACATCTACAGTCCTAGATCCATGTCCATCTACAGTCCTATATCCTGGATCCCCAACCCTGATGAGAGCAGGAGCACAGTCCTGACCCAGACACATGGGAACCCTGGCCCAAATCTTGCATTGGAGGGAGGTAAACGGGATCTGCTCTGTGTGCTCAACCCTACCTCTTTAGGGAGGGGTGCCAGACAAATCTGAGGAGTTTCCTGAAGATATTTTGGTCTGTGCTCCCCTCTCGTGCATCCTTTCCCTAGTTGGTGTGATGTGAGATGGTGGCCCCAGGTTGTTTCTCTCCGCAGGCAGAAAGTGGTTGTCAAAACAAGCACTCACTTAGAGATGCTGGGGGCGAAAATTAGAGCAATCAGCAGCCCCTTTTGCAGATTATATCAAACTGTAAACTCGGGTTTGCCGTGAAAGAAATATAATGGCCTGCCATCATCTTGCGCTCGGTGCTTTGTGCTGTTGTCTTTACTGCTTATCCTCAGTTTAATGCCTCCCCTGGAGCGAAAGCTGAGCTATAGCCTTGGAATCCATGTAGTTCTTGCACGTCTTTGAGGGCTGGGATGGCGATGCCTGCATCCCACTGCAGAAGTGACCCAGAGCTGAGGGCATGGTGGGACTGCTGGTGAGGCTACCGTGGGGATGGGGATGCGTATTCCATCCAGCACCACTATCCTGGTGCATTCCTGAGAGGTGATGTGGGCTGGCAGGGCACAAAAGTAACCCGAACTCTGCTCCTTTTGGCAACCTGCTCTTGCGGGTCTCCATCCTGAGATGTTTGTGCCCCATTCCTCCTGCCTTGCTCAAGGAGAGCAAGTTGTAGCACACACAGGCTCCCGATCCCTCCAGCTTCTTCAGCATTCCTTTGTGCTGTGCATATCCAATGTCAGAATCCATGGAAACCGCTGCCAACGGTGGCTTGCAAAAGAATTCATTAATAAAAATATTTTATAAATATAATAAAATTGCAGTCTTAAATGCAGCAAGGATCCTGCTGGCTGTGTCCTACTCTGCCCTTGCTTTCCGAAACTTAGGTAGAGCTAGAGCTGAAGAGTCCCTTTGCACCCATTGCTCTCAGAACTCAGAGTCAGAAGGGATATCTAAGTAGTAAAATCGCTGTAGCTGCTCCCAATAATATCTTGTTGTGTGTGGAGTCTGGGTGAATGAGGCCTTTGAGGTCTCCATCCTGCGCTGTTGGGATTGGGGCAGCTCTCAATCACGCATGGACTGTGCAGGAAAGGCAACCCTTGCTAGTCCCATTGAGTGTGTCAGGAAACTCTAGCAGGGAAGACTGGAATGGAACTTGATGGAGTAGAACTTGATAGCCTGGAAAACAGAGCAGAATTGGTGCAAAATGACTGTGAGAGTGAAATGAGGCTACTTCTGAGAGACTGATGGGGAAAAAAAAGCTGAAATCTCTCTCAAAACCTGTGACTGAGCTCAGGAAATGTTACATGTGCGCAGGGTGGGGAGGTCTCTCAGGAAGTCGTAGAAATCACCTTTGTCACTATGTTCAAGGCTCAGTCTGCTTTGTGTGAAATCAAACACTACTTGTGGCCTTTGCATGCAGGAATCTTATGGTTTGAGAGGGCGGTGAGCCTGAGAAACTAGCAGTCCTTATTAAAAACAGGTTTAAATGTTACTTCTGCACTGAGACGTGGTCTTTAAGGAAACATAGTGGTTTTTTTCTGTGCTGAACAATATAAATCAGGAAGAAAGTCAAAGCTGATATAGTAAGAGTCTTTAGGTTGTGCTTCTGCAGGAGCTTGTTTGAAGAGGATCCATGAAGCACGAGTCCTGGTAGACCTTCTGAGCCTCTGTGTAAATTCCTAGTATGAGGATATCTGAATTTCTTGTGGTCAAGCAAGTGGTGAGGTAAGCCACTGCTCCTTCAGCACTCCCATAAAAGGCATTTCTGTGGAATTTCCCGTTCCTTTAATGAATAGACTGTGAGTAGTTCCTGCCAGCCTAAAGCAACTGCAGTATCTGATACTCAAAGTTGAAAGGTTAAATGTGTGACATGCGGAATAGGGGATGTGAGTATATGGGTATTTTTCTGCTCAGGGGAAAAGCAGAAATAACCTGGACATTGAAAATGACCTTATTCTTCCTAGATCACCATGTAATTTTCCCTGTGATAGTGCAGAATATAGGCTACTTTTAAACTTTTCTAATGAGAATACTAACTTATGTCAGATCAAAAGGTATAATGCAATTTTTTTTCTATTTGTTATCATAAACTATCCTTTTTCATAGCAGAAATAGTTGATTCCTGCCAATTTCAATCCTCATCTGAATTTCATTGGTTTGGATCTTGGACAACACAAAAAAAAATCCTATAACAGCCTTGAACAAACTTGAACAAACTCTCCTTACTGGATTATGTGAGCAGGCTACCAAATTAATACATTCAAACTTTGTAACTATTAAAAATTAAATATGTGTTGGTTTCTGTTTTGGGTTTTTTTTCTGCCTACCAGAAAAGGTACTGCCTACCAACAAAATCAGGGATGTTCAAGTATTTTTACTGTATGTCACATTCGTGTTAGTATACATGCAAATGAAAATGCAGATATCTTTATTTGGCTCTGTTATTTCTGTTTATTGGTGTCATCAAATGATTAATTCTATGGTTAGAATGAATATGTTAAAACAAAGTGCATCCTAGCAACATACTTACAATTAAAAAATATTTCCCCTCTGTGTGCTGATAGGGGACATCCTACCAGTCTATTTGTAATTCATTTCTTTACCTCCAGGAGGAACAAAATGAACTGTGTGGGGAAAGAGAAAGAAAAGAGATTGTATTGGCCTCTTTCCTTAGTTAAGTGATTGATAAAGAGTAGTTCTCTGTGAACGTGTAACTTACTCTGTTGCAGAGCAGCACGCTCAGAAAGATGTTGCCTTTGGGTGTTTGCACAAGTAAACTCATTTGTGCACAAATAAACTCAAAATTACACCTAAAATTGAGGGTGGCCCCAATCCCAGCCTTTCTGATGCTGATGTGCTGTCCTGCAGGACCGCGCTCTCGTACTGATGCTGCTTCCTAACCAGCCAACTTGTTCTATCCTGATGATTCGTTATGTGTTCCAGGAGCAAAGGGATTTGTGTGTCATGGTGTCATCCCTCCAGCCTGGCTCCAGGCAGCGCTTATGGAAAGGAGAAATGTCGCAAGAAGATGAAGAAACTAGTTGGAATAAATAGAATGCAGCTCCATGGGGCACTGAGAAGGATGGCATTTAGGCAGGGATAATTAATTGCCCAGTCTGTGGGCAGCTCCCTAAAGGATCTCTCTTCTGTAATTTGGAAGTCTGAAAATGTCCAAACTAGATGTGAGTCAACAGTGACAAACTGTTGCAAGAAGAAAACTTGTCATACGTAAAGCATTGCACATAAAATTAATAAATTAATCTTTTTGTTAGTTGGTAGTGATAAGGACTTAGATGGTGTATTTGTGTGTCTGATTTGGGACACGGCACTTCAAACAAGGTGCAAAGGCGGGCAGTGGTTAGTGGCAAGAACGGTCAAGAAGTTAAAAGATATGGTGTAGGATGAAAAGCTGAAAGAGTCTGAGCTTTAATCAAGTCCCTAGGCAGTGTGATCCTGAAATGTGTAAAAATTTGCTTAAAAGAAGGGAATAATGTATCCTGTGTGTCTGCTGTGGGTAGGGGAAAGAGCAGCAAGTTGCAGAGAGGAAAATGCAGGTAAGACTTTTTTTTAAAGAAAATATGACAAGAGCAAGTCAAGTACTATAAGATTTGGTTATGGGAGTCCTGGCACTTGCAGCCCTGGTTGTTTAAGGAGCCCTGGATGAGCACAGGTCAAGGCGGGTGGCACTTCTGGGGGCAGGATGTTCCCTGAGGTCTCTTCTAGCCACATTTCCCCTCATTTTTTATTTTCATGATGCTTAACAAGAAAAGCCATGTAAGAAAAGTTGGAAAATGTCTGTGTCTGTGGCAGTTAATAATCTCTTGCTGTGCAAGGATAAAGAAAGGTGATGCAAGAAGCTAGTGCTCTTCACCTATTCTCACCACATTGTGGTAACTACAGACACTGAAATACCCATAGCTCTGCTCTCTGGTAGTTACTTGTTTCTGTGTATGTTCATAATTTCTTACATTTTTCCGGAACTTCTGGTTGCAGAAGTTTCTGTTTGCATACATAGCAATGTACTGTCATACGCTGTGTCGGAGTAACAACAGCCCATCTTCCAGCTTCAGGTCTGCATTGCCTCGCTGGGTTGTTTTTGTCCTGTGTCCCGTCACTAACATCATTTCAGCAGGGTTTTATAATTGCATTTAATATGCCACTTACTATGCATGCCTCACCTGATTTCTATGGCAATAAAGAGATTAATTATCTTTGCTGGTTTCATAGTCAGTTGTGTGTTGATAATCCTTTTAATTTTACTGAGTTTCAAAATCTTGGTTGCTTTTAGAAAAGGGTCAGAGCTAAGATAATTCTGTATTTTAAAATACTTACCAACTCCAGACTCTTAGCTTTCTCCAAATGTGAGTTTCTCTTTGTCTCTTTCAGACAGGGCAATTCCATCCTGATCTATTGTCTTTACTGTCTCTTAGGAAATTTGATTTGGAGAATCACAAAACTTGCATTATTTAATTGATAGAGGAAGGAAAATCAGAAATGTCATGCTAATAAACTGGGCTTGTTTTGTCAGGGCGAGAGGACACAGAAAATAGCCAGCTTTCCAGTATCATAGCTATCATGCTGCAAGCCTTCCTGCCTCACAGCAATAAAAGCAGAGCTAACAAATGAGTGGGTAGGGGGAGTATCTTCCATGATTTTTCATTTTCTTAATTTGATAGGAATCTTTGGAGCTGCATTTTTTTCATTTCAGCCTGAACAAGGGATGTCACGTGTAGGTAGAATTTTAGTTTTTACCCACTTTTTCAAGAATTGTATTTAACTCCTGTACAACAATTTACTCATGAAGTTAATTGCTCTTTTATTTTACAGTGACCTTGCGTGCATTTCGTATCTGAAGAAATTTTCTAATTTAGAAGCACAAAAGAGGATGAAAGCGGCAGTGTTACTACCCGAGTCACATGTTGGAAAAAAAAAGTGCTTATGTTAAATTATAGGCTGCTGAAGCTGGGACCAAAGATAACATTATTAGAGTTTTGCAATAAGTATGATTAATGGGACAACAGGGGTGTCATTTGGGCCCCCTCTTGTGTATATACCTTATTTATTTTCATGGTTAGGGTTTCTTCATTCAAACCAAATGTATACGTGCATTTTCTTTGAACCTCCCTCTTTCTCCCTGTATTTCAACACTGAAAATGTATTGTCTAAAAGGTTTGTGTTTTCTAATATTATCTAAGTCCACTCCGGCAGCATTTTTGGAAAAGGAGGAACCTCCCCTCCTGTATTCCCCTTTTCTCTGATTAAGGTCTTTAAGGTTGAGGTGAATGTAGGTTATTCTTCATAATAGAAAATATCACCAGAGATAGGAGAAGAAAAATAGTTAAAGAGCACAGTCACTACATACCAGTAGGACCTGAAATGCTAAGAGTTTTTGTCTGTACTTATGTCTCTGATCAAGAAGTTTATCACTGTATCAAGAAGTAAGTTATAATAGCAAAAAGGAGGACTTGATCCATCTGAAATGTGAAATATTAATGTTGTTTCCTTACAGGTCTGGGAAACTCTTACATATTAGCAAGCTTAGTATTTCATAACACATAAGAATATTTAACAAACGGGGAAAAACACATAAAGTACTCTTCCTGTGAGTGGAGGAAAAAAAAAAAAGACCTTTTGTGCCTGTGACTACCAAATGTTTTCTGTTAATAACTGTGTGTACAGAGGATAGTCGATTGTGACCCAAGTTCTAACACGAATGATGTGACCCTGACGTTCTCCCCTGTTTCCAACATCTCTCTTGCTTGTTGTGACCGCTGCATTTGGGAGTTGGGGCTTCACAGGTAGCGGCAGAGGTTTTGGTCTTGATGCTGTTGAATGATATTTAATGGATTCTACATGTCTGCAAATCCCACTGGGGTTTTACTAAAATCATTTTACATCAAAATTTAGACTGGTGCCCGGTGCCTTTTCGCTCAGCAGTCAGCAAAATCCTGTTTGCTCACCAGACAAGCTTGTGCTGAGGTGGCACCTCAGCTTCAAAATCCTAAAAATCAGTTCACAATCCCTTTCCCTCCCTCTCTATGCAACGAATAAAGCAGGAAGGGCTGCTTCTCTAACCTGCCATCCATAAAATACGTGGTGCAGGCACGCGTGCTCTCCGTGGATGGGTATTGAAAGGTCCTTTCCCTGCTGCAAGCCCAGCTGCCTTCCCTTCACTTAAAATCTAGTGTTTGTTCTGGCATTACGTTTGTAAAAACAATTTTAATGTTAGGACATTGGTAATATTATGTCAAGCTGGCCAGGAGTCTGTCCCAAGAAGCGCAGCGGGTTGTGATCTGTCACAGTGACGTCTTGTTGAGGGATTCTGCTTTTTAAGAGAATAAAATAAAGAGCCTTGGCTTTCTGACCCCTGTGTGGAAGTACATCCTCCTTTGCAGATCAAGGCAACTCTGGAAATTTCTGCAGCCTGAGCTTCTTAAATGCGTTCCAAGATGCATATCCACACAGTGCAAAGGGGCTGGCTAGGTGCTGAAAGCAGCATAATGTGCCAGCCTGGGCTGGGTCCAGCTCAATAAATCTAGCCCCGGGAGCTGTTGTGTGCTTTCCCTTTCCCAACACCAATACAGTCCTATACCAGTAACTCAGCAAAAGGCTCAGATAATTCTCTGTCGATGCCATCTATGTATTTGGGTTTAGGTCTCACATAAACTGATGAGTGAATAGAAAATTGAACCAGGCTTCTCTGGAGCAGGTCTCAGAATGTGTCTGGGAACCCGACTTAGCTCTTGAGTGTATGCAAGAGAAGGAGGTAGGAATTGCTTTAAAATTTAGACTCGATAAAACTGAGGGAGAACAGGAGGAGGTTCATCTCAATTTCTGGCAGGTTGATCCAGAGCCCCTTACCTCTGCATTTTGTAAGTAGCCAAGACGTGAGTGTATTTTTGCTTGCCTAGGATGCCTGTCAAATTGCCGAGCTGGGAAATGAGATGTGCACCGGGTTTTGACATCAGTGACAGCTCAAGGAAGGGAGCGGTGTGATTTCGGTACCACATGACACGGCTTTACTATATTTTAGCAGCTGGCTTAGAGTAAGGGTTTCTTCCACTTCACTGCCAGCATCCTCTCCCAAGGAAATCGGCGGGGACTCTGGCAAATAGCTTTGTCCTTTCTCAAATAGGCTGTGCACTTAATAAAACGAGTCACAGGCATCCCATTAATTGTCCAGATAATTAGCTTTAGGCAATCTGGCATTTCATCTTTGTCTCCGAGTTAATCTCAGCTAGTTTCAGTTCCCTCGCTGGCATGTATAATTCCTCATCTATTTTGACATTTCTCTGTCACATTAACATTTATCATATTTCAGTTCCCCTAGACTCAAGCAAGCTTTAATCAGTCTTACTGCTTTGCGACTCACTTATGCTACATAAAACTCTTACAGTTGTTACTTCTTCTGTCTAGAGATTTGATAAATGTGCAATTTCTGTTATTAAAGTGACCTCATACGCATAGTGGGCTTGTTTGTTTCTGTTGCTGTGCCTGCATTTAGATAGTTTAAGGCATTCTGTAAGAACTCTCTTTCCCTGAGTAGGTACAGGGTATTTTAAACCTAACTTTGTTTTTATTAATCCCTAGGATGATGCCAGATGGTGAAATCCCCAAATAGATGATGTGGTTGCATACGTGCGCCCGTGTACACACTGCATCCCTATGTGCATGAACGTGCAGGCTGGTTAGCATGAGGGAAGGGCTGATTAGATAATAAGGCTGTATCATGCAGGTCACTTCAAGTGGGGACTGAAAAAAGGATTTCTTTAGCTCGACACTGGATATTGCTTATAGAAAAATCTGGTTTGGAAGGTTCTGTTATTACCACTTGAGGATACTTATATTGTCTTTCCTCAGAAGTTGCCTGTCTTGTGCTTGGAAAATGAGAAGCTGGTAATGCTGCGTCTGTTCAGAAAAATGGTGAACTTCCCTGTTAGCTCCGTGATCCCAAAGCGCCGTCTCGATCACTGCATGGGCATCCAAGGCCGGGCTGTGGGTCTGTCACTGGCTCCCTGGGTATTGCCCGTTTTGCATTTCAAATATGTAACTGGTAGAAAGATGGAATGGATTTGACAGTATAAAGGAGGAAAGATCTTTCTGCTAAATAGATGTTTTTTTAAACCTGCTTTGAAACTGTTCATAAATTTGGAATATTAGAGAAAGATCTGGTGGAGAGGAATTATATGGGCAGAGGGCAAAGAAGACGACAGGTGTGTTCCTGATTTAAAAATGGAGGGAATGCTTTGTAGAAATAAATGCATTTATTTTTTTCTTTGTAGAAATGCTTTGTAGAAATAAAAATTGCACTTTGTATAGTTTATTAGCTTAGTTGCTCTACAATGCACTGTACCTGCTGCACTCCATTTATTTGTAAAAGGGGAGGAACTCTGCTTTCTTCCAGTAAGTCCAAATGAACATTTCCACTGTTGACTTCTTAAGAGCTGAAACAATTAGGCAAAGAAAATGTTACAGCTTTTGGATGCACTTGTTTCCTGATGCACACTAACACAAGAGCACGGCATGAGAACCGGGAGCGTCCTTCCCTTCTCGTTGGGAAATGCCAGGAGCGTCTGCATCCCCAACATAAACACAACCCTTGCTGTATGCGCTTGGCAATGATACTCAGTGCTGAAATTGCATCAGACTTTGAGCATCAATCGATTGGAGAAATCGCTGTGGATGTCTGGGGTGCTGCTTAGTGGTACGTGCTCAAAGGAGAACGTTCTAGCAGGACTAGATGCTGATCTCCCTAATGTTGCATAGGTCATGGATTTTTTTTTTCCTAAGTAATATCTTTGTTTCTTATTTCCTTTTCTTGGTGGGGAAGCTGTGTTTTGCTGCTTGTCTTTTGCTTGGCAAGTCCAAGGGGCTTTGAGGCTGTGAAACGCGAGATGATGTGGTTGCCCTCCAAAGGTGCCCACTTTGCAGGGAGGGGGCTACGTGTAAACACAGGTTTGGGGGAGAACGATAGAGAAGGTGCTGATTTAGCGTGTGAAGCACAGCTAAAGAAATGCCTTGTGTCACTTGTGTTCCCACAAGTAATCCTGCTTAAGTCCATTGTGGAATTGGCACCCATAAAATCTGTAAATTACTTCTAGTTGCCATAGAAATCCCTTACTCTGAATTTAAGCACAGTTACACCCTTTTTAGAAAAATACTAGTCCTCAGGCTTAGAGGAGCCGCGGTGTTTGCCTGCTGATCCTAATACGGTCCTTTTTCAGCAAGGACATCTTGTAACCGCTCTCATTTTCATGTTTAGTGCTCAATTGCTGAAACGCCGTGGTAGATTACGTACTTCCAACTTTTAGGAGAGTTAAATTGGTTTTGTGCTGTAATCTGTAGTTTTATTGTATAATTTGTCCTTGAAATATAAAGGGAATTTTATGGCATAGACTTTCAGAGCCGAGTACAAACCAATCAAAAGTTTTAGGCATGAAGATTTTATCATAATTGATCTGATCTCCTTCATAGCAGCATAAACTTACTATCTATTGGCTGTTACATGGGGCTTTGTTTGATTGGTTTTCAAAAAGAAATGGGTTTTTCAAGGCCAAGTTTGTCCTTCCTTTGGTAGAAGGATTTGCCACCTGTGGTGCACTTGGCTGAGTAATAGGTAGGTTTCCCTAACTCAGAGATTTTTTTAAAGCCAGAAGGGGCTATTAAATTATTTAGTCTGCATAACACGAGCTATAAAATGTGATTTAAGGTAGGTGTTTTCTGCAGCGAGTCCCTTATCAGTAATATTTAATGTACCATGCCGGCACCTCAGACATGCGGTCCTGCTGCAGACTGACGGCTAAGCAGAACGCCGCTGGCGAGGGAGAGGAGGGGCGGCCGCGGCCGCTTCCTCAGCGGCGCGAGGTGCACAGACACGGTCGGGAGCACCGGGCGAAGACGGAGATATCCGGGCGTGTTTGGCAGTCCTGGACATGCCCGTGGCCACCTCCGTTGCTCCCTCTCTGGGAGACGCGGGACGGAGCAGACGCGGGACGGAGCAGCCGCAGGAACGGAGGCAGCGTTCGCTCCTCGCGCGGTTATTTGGAAAATAAACACCATTTGTTTTCAGCAAGGGTGCCTCCGAGTCGTACGCGCTCCCGTACTCGCAGATGACTCTTTCTCAGCCTCCTCTCACATTCGGCAGCCGTGGGAGGAGGTATTTGAACAGAGCTCCGGGCTCACGGGAATGCCCGTGTGGGGAGCGACGCGTGCGTCTCTGCAGGCCGTGCCCAGCCTGCCCGCATCCCTTCCCTGCGCAGATCCACTGCCCGCTCCCACCATCCCCGTCGGAGAGGAAAACCCGGCGCCGCCGCGGGCCCGCGCGAGCCAGCAGCGCGGGTTGCATCCTCCTCAGATCTCATTTATAGGCTGCTTCCTAGAATTAGGAGCTCAGATTATTTCCTGTCGGTCTGAAGTCTGCGCTATTTCTGCTAAATTATTTAAAGGTATTAAAAATGCATGGCACTTGGTGCGCTGTACCAAGTTTAATGGAAGGTCAGATTGGTCCTGACTTTACATGGAATAACACGTTAGCTCTTATTTATTGTTGCACTTTATTTCATTTGGGAAACAGAATTAACACAGATGAGTACTGCCTGATGGACATTACCCAGAAATACCTCCTGTGATATTTAATGCATTTTGTAGGTTTAGACATTATGTTTCCAAAAAAAGCTTGTATTCTATTTGAATTTAAATGGATCAAGTCACCTCTTTATCATGATAAATTCTTGTAATTTAAAATCCAGAGTTTTTTAAAATCATCATCTGTGTTACATTTCTG